TATTTGGGTTTAATAATAATAATGATAAAGTTGGAAGGGATCTTGGAGGTCATCTAGTCCAACCCCCTGCTCAGGCAGGAAACCCTATACCATTCCAACTTCTTTATTATTATTATTATTATTATTATTATTATTATTATTATTATTATTATTATTATTATTATTATTATTATTATTATTATTATTATTATTATTATTATTATTATTATTACTATTTCGGACAAATGGCTGTCCAGTCTCTTCTTAAAAACTTCCAGTGTTGGAGCATTCACTGCTTCTGGAGGCAGGTTGTTCCACTGGTTAATTGTTCTCACTGTCAGGAAGTTTCTCCTTAGTTCTAGGTTACTTCTCTTTATCTGGCAAATCTAGTAAATCTAATAAATCAGATAACGATCTTATGGCAGCGATCTCACAAGCAAACGTTTCTTATATCTAGGCTCCTTTTAAAAGAAAAAGAAAATGGCGCCGCTTCATGCCGAATTGCATCCTGGGAATTGTTGTTCCTTTCCCACCGCCGGTGGGCCCCCCCGCGACCAGCATTCGGGCGGCGTTGCAGTTGCCTTGGTAACGGGCGAGCATCTCAGCCTTGTAGGGTTGGTTAGAGCAGAGAAACTAAACAAATTCAGAATGGGGTGAAAAGTACACTCGACACAATACCACAATTGCACACTAGGCAGCGGAAATCATCCAATAAAAAAATGATTGTCAGAACAATTAGAAGAACTCCCAGAATTCTCCAGCCAGCATAACCTTTGCAGAGAATTTTGAAAAACCTATCTATCTATCTATCTATCTATCTATCTATCTATCTATCTATCTATCTATCTATCTATCTATCTATCTATCCATGCACCCACCCACCCACCCACCCACCCACCTACCTACCTACCTACCTACCTATCTATCTATCTATCTATCTATCCATGCACCCAACCCACCCACCTACCTACCTACCTACCTACCTACCTACCTATCTATCTATCTATCTATCTATCTATCTATCTATCTATCTATCTACCGACCTACCTAACTACCTACCTACCGACCTACCTACCTACCTATCTATCTCTAGCTAGCTAGCTAGCTAGCTAGCTATCGGTAGTCCTTGACATACGACCACAATTGAGCCCAAAATGTCATTTGTTAAGTGAGTTTTGCCCCATTCTATGTCTTTTCTTGCCACAGTTGTTAAGTGAATCACTGCACTTGTTAAGTTAGTAACAGGGTTGTTAAGTGAATCTGGCTTCCCCTTTGACTTTGCTTGTCTGAAGATCACAAAAGGTTATCACATAACCCCAAGATATTGCAACCGTCATAAATATGAGTCAGTTGCTAAGTGTCTGAATTTTGATCACGTGACGTTGGCAATTCTGCAATGGTCATAAATGTGAAAAACAGTCATTTATAAGTTGCTTTTTTCAATGTCGTTGTAACAACTTCAAACAAAAGCTCAAGAAGGTATAAAAACCCACCACTCCCAGCTACATGTGGTCAGCTTTCCCAGAGCCCTCTTTCTATCTGGCTCTGCTCTTCAATAAACTGCCACCTTCCTTCTAAAGCAATCTCCATTTTGTTTATTCCCAGCTTAGACTGGACCCTGATGAAGATTTTTCTTTCGACATGGCAAACAAAAATTGAATGAATTTCTGAAATACGAATCGATGAATGCCTGATCTTTCTGGGGGAAAGTTTGCTCAAGCAATCTGAAATTAACTAAGTTTTCATTTAAATTATTAATTTAATTCCTTAGTTCTAAGTGCACTTTCCTGGGGAACTTAGCCTGTTTGAAATCAGCCTGTTTCCTTATATTTAAATCAAAGAGAATATCTGTAACTCAGGGTTGAACTGTGGGGTCCGTGGTGTTTTTCTGAGCTTGGTGGTTTTCTTGCAGACGTTTCAGTACCCAGCTCTAGTGAGCACTCAGCCAGGTAAATGAAACATTGGCAAGCAAACAATCAAACTCAAGGACCAAGAAGGACCTCACTTTTTTCTTATATTTTGTGGTCCTCAGGCAGAGCTTCAATCACACAATAGCAGTTGTCTCTGCAAATCAGCCCGTTTCCCTTACTGACCAATAGCATCTCTGAATGATAAAGAAAAATGATAATATTCAGATGTATTTCTATATTAAAAAAAAACCCTTCTGCAGGAAGCTTATAAGCAGAAAAAGAGACTTTTTCAGACACACAAACAATTCTGCAAATGTTTATTTATACATCTTTTATGAAAGGGATAAGAACAAGAAGATTCCCAGCCCCAGAAAATCTGTTTATTCTCAAATATTTCTCCTGAGTATACACATTAAATTAATACTCCCAAATCAATATCCAGTTCCAGAGGCACCTGAAGGGAAGGGATTAAATAAAGCAACATGATCGCAACCGTACGAACAAAGCCCCGCCCCCTCGTGAGTGGCACATCCACAATTTGCATATAAAAGGAGCAGAGCTTTGATCAAGAAACTATTTTTTTTTTCATTTCCACGCAGATACCCCTGTCCACTTGTTTAGTTTTTAATTGGCACATCTGCATTGAGAACTAGCATAACATGTTGCGTTACAATGAGTCTGTGCAGTGGAGACATAACTTTAGATTTTTTACGCACCGGATCTGCAATGGTTGCCAACCTTTGTGACTTGATGTACGGACTTCAACTCCCAGAATTCCACACCCAGCATACTGACTGAGGAATTCTGGGAGTTGAAGTCCACACACTTTCAAGTTGTCAAGGTTGTTATTATTGCAAGGAACGAAATGACGCTTTGTTCCAGAATAAATCATCTGTAATTTCCAGATTTGAGATGTCCCTGAATATCCCTCCTTTGGATTGATTAACAATTAAAAGATGATGTTTCGAGAGTGAAATCACAGTTAAGACATTGCTGCAAAAAGTGTCAAAAGTGGAAGGGAATTGGGCACAACAATGAAACCCAATTTATAATTTTAAAAAAATTCACGCCGGAGTCCATAATATTGCACAATTCCGCTCCTTAATACAGTAAGTCGGCGTTACTCAACTTTGGCAATTTTTAAGATGTGTGGACTTCAACTCCCAGAATTCCCTAACCAGCAGGAGGAATTTTGGGGCTAAAGTCGATCAATCTTAAAAGTTGCCGAAGTTGAGAAACATTATAGAAGGTAAAGGGTGAAGACACACCACTACATGGGAAAAGAACATTTTGTATTGCAGTAACGTAAAATGTGCTGGAAATGTGTTCTCCTTTGGATTCTTCTCAGGAAATACTTTTCAAGCAAACTTTGGTCTCTCTTGATTTAAACCTTGCAGGGAAAAAAAAATATAGATACTTAAAACGAACTTTCTGATTTCTGTGCAAGTGATTAAATGCACTCAGTGTGTTTTATGTTAGCTTCTGAGGCCACTTTTGTGCTTCAAGATTATTGCATTATTCGCCTGCCACAAACATAGTTCCAGCAGGATGGGTAGCAACTTGGGTACCGCTGAGATCAGCACCTGTTGCCTGGTGTTACCTGAGAACTAAGTTTCCTTTCCTGCAACTGCTTCTGTGTACCAAAATCACAATAACACACAAATACATTATGCACGGGCACCCCCGTTTGCAACAGCTGGGCCTACGACGTTTTTTTTTTTACAATTCTGCAAACCGGTTCCGAAGCAATTTGATACCGAACAGGTTGACCAATAATTTAAATAAATTATAGGACGCAGGGAAAAAAGGAAGTCTCTTGAATGACATAAACATTTTCTCCTAGTGCAACAGAGTGTGTCCCGTGATACTCGAAGTGTTGATGTACGCTGTCCATGGTCTTCCCAAGCCTGAAGATGTCCTTTAGGAAGCAAGTCTGCGCATAGCCTAGTTTTTTTTAAAAAAAAAAGAAAAGAAAGGGAAATAGGATTGGAATTCTAAATTTGAAATGAAAACTGTGAAGACTAAATAGATGTTGATTACCACTGTAGCCATTCTCATGTATATCAGGTAAATTAGGTTTATTTTCCCCCAAAGAACTCTTGAAAATAGTTTATTGAAGATGCTGCAAATGTGGTGTTAAGAGAACCCCAGTTACCATGACAGAATCTTATTTGGAGCTGTCCTTGGTGCTCTCTGAGCTTGGTTGTTTCCTTGCAGACGTTTCTTTACCCAACTAAGTAACATCATCAGTGCTAGAAGGGAGTAGGGTTTGTGGAGAGGAGGAGGAGGAGGACGAGCATGGTTGTTTCCTTGCAGACATTTCTTTACCCAACTAAGTAACATCATCAGTGCTAGAAGGGAGTAGGGTTTGTGGAGAGGAGGAGGAGGAGGAGAAGGAGGAGGAGAAGGAGGAGGAGAAGGAGGACTATGGGGTCCTTGGTACTCTTTGAGCTTGACTGTTTCCTTACAGACATTTCTTTACCCAACTAAGTAACATCATCAGTGCTAGAAGGGAGTAGGGTTTGTGGAGAGGAGGAGGAGGAGGAGNGGAGGAGGATGACTATGGGGTCCTTGGTACTCTCTGAGCTTGGTTGTTTCCTTGCAGACATTTCTTTACCCAACTAAGTAACATCATGAGTGCTAGAAGGGAGTAGGGTTTGTGGAGAGGAGGAGGAGGAGGAGGAGGAGGAGGAGGACCATGGGGTCCTTGGTGCTCTCTGAGCTTGGTTGTTTCCTTGCAGACATTTCATTACCCAACTAGGTAACATCATCCGTGCTAGAAGGAAGTGAAGTTTACTTACAACTTGCTTCTGAAGTTCCGATGGCTGGGATCCCCCCTGCAGTCACATGACTACATTTTGGGCACTCAGCAACCAGCTCACATTGACAGCTGTTTGCAACATCCCATGATCCCATGATTACATTTTACATGTTTCCCCAAAACCCAGCATTTACTTACTGTTTGCCACAAAACCACCCCACAGTGGACAGTTGGTTTTCTTAGCAACTGTGGGGTTCCCTTAACAACGATCGGGCATGGGACAACCCAGTTTATGATTGTCCCAACTTACAACCGTAATGGGCAGGGTCCCCTATGCTCATGTTGATGGCTACTTGTATTATTTTACGATTAAAAATGATAACCATGCAGATTTGAAATGAGAAAATACCTCTTCTTGAACATCCAGCTCTTCATTCTGGTAAGTTTCTGGAAATTCTATCGGTTCTTTTGATTCCTGCATCAAGGATATCTGGGCCAAAAGAACGTAGAGTTATTCAAATGACAAATCACAAATTAATTGATTGAGTAGATAATACTGTTCTGTTAAACAATTAAGTACAATTCTCTGATAGAATTGTTTCATTGTGACAACAAAAAGTAAATTAAAACCTCTTTAACAGCAATCATCCTTGAATCTGCACAGAGGCATTCTTTCCAAAATTATTTAAATGATATTTAAATATCCACTGTGAACATGTTTTCCCTCACAAAGACAGTTAACCGAGTATTTCTTTTTCAATTAAATATTGCAAAGTGGAATGAAAATAACCAGAACTTATGTGAAAATATTATACGGGTGTAAATAAAACGCCGTACCAATAGGTTCATAAATAAATATAAAATATGTACAGGTCCTACCTTTTCAGCTATAGGGTCTTGGGCCTCCCTATACATGACTTGACTCTGTATGTGTAGTACAGCATCGTGTACAGTCAGGAAAAATACTTCTTTTTGAATGTTATCGTCAAAAAAGGCACAGTGTTCTAATGTTTTAATAATGTGGTCTGCAGGGAAAATATACAATAAAAATATAACCAACACCAGACAGATAACAATCAGTTTGAATATTCACACCTGTTAAAACTATATATATATATGAGATCATTGTAAATCAGCTTTTTTCCCTCCACTGACAGAATAAGTAAATAAAATAAATTTATGTACAGAATACAGGCAGTCCTCAACTTACAACACTTCATTTAGTGACCGTTCCAAGTTACAACGGCACTGAAAAAAAGGGACTTATGAACATTTTCACAGTTACAACTGTTGCAGCGTCCCCACGGTCACGTGATCAAAATTCAGACACTTGGCAACTGACTCGTATCTATGACGGTCGCAGCGTCCCTGGGTCATGTGATCCCCTTTTGCGACCTTCTGACAAGCAAAGTCAATGGGGAAGCCAGATTTACTTAACACCTGTGTTAATAACTTAACAGTTGCAGCGATTCACTTAACAACTCATAAAAACCTCACTTAACAAATACCTCACTTAGCAACATAACTTTTGGGCTCCATTGTGGTCATAAGTCAAGGACTACCTGCATATAGGAGGTTTTTACGACTTGAAGAGGGAGATGTATCATGAATTCTGCAATGTTGGTAACTCGCTGGATTGAAAAATGAAAGGGCTGAGGATGTAATTAGGGATTGTGGTGGGAGGTGATTACTACAATACTTTCAAAAATATTTCTTCCAGACTAAAAATTTCTTCTACACTGTTCTCTGTGCTCTGTTCCCTGTAACAAATAAAAGCTGTAATAATAATGTGCAGATTTTTATTTACCTAGATGTGATGCGATGTATACTGACACATCAATTCTTTTGAACTCTTTGACAATCTGAAAAAAAAAAGATGAGTGTTATCTTAAATATAGCTTTAAGGACACATGGGGAATACTGGAGGGTGTGATCAGAATTTTCTGATCCAGGTCTCATTTAAATTTGTAGATCTAGTACACAAGGCCAAATAAATGTTACCTATTCAGCATTGATGATGTTCCCTAGTTGGGTCCTGAAACGTCTGCAAGAAAACCGCCAAGCTCAGAGAGCATGAAGGATCCCCACCGTTCAATCTGAGCTATACATTTTCTCTTCTGGGGTTATCATTTATCCATGCATAAAAGTTTACCTTTACTTCTGCATCAATTCCAACTGCACTGTTAAATTTGCACTTTTATCACTGCCACCTTTAGAATAGAATAGAGCTGGAAGAGACCTTGGAGGTCTTCTTGTCTAGCCCACTGCTCAAGCAGGAGAACCTATACCATCTCAGACAAGTGACTGTCTAGCCTCTTCTTGAAAATCTCCAATGATGGAACGCCCACGATTTCTGGTGGCAAGCTGTTCCACTGGTTAATTGTCCTCACTGTCAGGAAGTTTCTCCTTAATTCCAGGTTGCTTCTCTCTGGAAACTGATCAAAGAGAGAAGCAACCTGGAATTAAAGAGAAACTTCCTGACAGTGAGGACAATTAACCAGTGGAACAGCTTGCCACCAGAAATCGTGGGCGCTCCATCACTGGAGACGGTATAGGTTCTCCTGCTTGAGCAGGGGGCTGGACTAGAAGACCTCCAAGGTCCCTTCCAGCTCTATTCTATTCTATTCTATTCTATTCTATTCTATTCTATTCTATTCTATTCTATTCTATTCTATTCTATTCTATTCTAATGAAGAGAAGGACTAGGGGTGACATGATAGCAGAATTTCAATATTTAAATAGCTGCCACAAAGAAGAGAGGTCAAGCTATTCTCCAAAGCATCTGAGTGGAAACTAATCAAGGAGAGAAGCAACCTAGAACTAAGGAGAAACTTTCTGATAGAACAATTAACCAGTGGAACAACCTGCCTCCAGAAGCTGTGAATGCTCCAACACTGGATGTTTTTAAGAAGAGACTGGATAGCCATTTGTCTGAAATGGCATAGGGTTTCCTGCCTGAGCAGGGGGTTGGACTAGATGACCTCCAAGGTCCCTTCCAACTCTGTTATTCTGTTCTATTGTTCTATACATGTTGAAGCTTGCAGAAAGAAACCATAAGAGAGTTACAGAACTATTACTATCCCTCTAGCTTTAAATGATCTCATTTTAATGATGGGTTGATGAGGAAAATGAGAAAAATATCCTTACTGTTTTCATTACTCTGACAGCTACTACATCTAGGAAAGAGACGGCTCCAAAGTCAAAAATGAGGCTGTGGAGGGGCACTTGCGGAACATTCACTTTGACGGGAAGTTCTGAGTTCCAATCCACCTGGATCTCCATTTCTTTGGTTGGAATGTCCGGATCGACCGGATCTTCTGGATCATCATCAGATTCAAAACCCTCATTCACGGTTCCCAAATCGCTGATAATGCCATTCTAGTAAGAAGAGACAGATAGCGTGTTCAACACATTCCTTAATTTAAAAAGCCCCTAAATACAGAATTTTTTTTTCTTCACAACAAAATATTTCTAATCAACTCATGGCAGAGCTAACATTTCTTATTTTCTTTACATAAGTCACGATAATGCATGCTCTCTACACAAAACTTCCTGGGAACAGAAGTGATGCCCAGTTCTTTAAAAACCCAAAGCCAGTTTACTCTAGAGGTTAAGGCACCGGGCTACAAAGAGGGAGATGGTGAGTTCTAGTTTGTCTTAGACGCAAAAACCGGTTAGGTGACTTTGGGCCAATCACCGGTACACTGGGAGTTCTAGTGCCATCTTAGGCATGAAAGCCAACTGAGTGAAGTTGGGCCAGTCACCAGGAAACTGGGAGTTCTAGTGCCATCTTAGGTATGAAAGCCGGCTGGGTGATTTTGGGCCAATCACTGGTACACTGAGAGTTCTAGTGCCATCTTAGGTATGAAAGCCAACTGAGTGAAGTTGGGCCAGTCACCAGGAAACTGGGAGTTCTAGTGCCATCTTAGGTATGAAAGCCGGCTGGGTGATTTTGGGCCAATCACCAGGAAACTGGGAGTTCTAGTGCCATCTTAGGTATGAAAGCCAACTGAGTGAAGTTGGGCCAATCACCAGGAAACTGGGAGTTCTAGTGCCATCTTAGGTATGAAAGCCAACTGAGTGAAATTGGGCCAATCACCAGGATACTGGGAGTTCTAGTGCCATCTTAGGTATGAAAGCCGGCTGGGTGATTTTGGGCCAATCACTGGTACACTGGGAGTTCTAGTGCCATCTTAGGCGTGCAAGCCGACTGGGTGAAGTTGGGCCAATCACCGGTACACTGGGAGTTCTAATGCCATCTTAGGCATGAAAGCCAACTGAGTGAAGTTGGGCTAGTCACCAGGACACTGGGAGTTCTAGTGCCATCTTAGGCGTGAAAGCCGACTGGATGAAGTTGGGCCAATCACCAGAAAACTGGGAGTTCTAGTGCTATCTTAGGCATGAAAACCGGCTAGGTGACTTTGGGCCAATCACCGGTACACTGGGAGTTCTAGTGCTATCTTAGGTATGAAAGCCAACTGAGTGAAGTTGGGCCAATCACCAGGACACTGGGAGTTCTAGTGCCATCTTAGATATGAAAGCCGGCTGGGTGATTTTGGGCCAATCACCGGTACACTGGGAGTTCTAGTGCCATCTTAGGCATGAAAGTCAACTGAGTGAAGTTGGGCCAGTCACCAGGACACTGGGAGTTCTAGTGCCATCTTAGGCATGAAAGCCGACTGGGTGAAGTTGGGCCAATCACCAGGACACTGGGAGTTCTAGTGCCATCTTAGGCATGAAAACCGGCTAGGTGACTTTGGGCCAATCACCGGTACACTGGGAGTTCTAGTGCCATCTTAGGCATGAAAGCCAACTGGGTGACGTTAGGCCAATCACTGGTACACTGGGAGTTCTAGTGCCATCTTAGGTATGAAAGCCAGCTAGGTGACGTTGGGCCAATCACCAGGAAACTGGGAGTTCTAGTGCCATCTTAGGCATGGAAGCCGACTGGCTGACTTTGGGCCAGTCACTCTCTCTCACCTTACCTTACCTCACAAGGCTGTTGTTGTGAGGAAAATAGGAGGGGGGTAAGTGTGCTGGATACGTTTGCCATGTCGAGTGATTTGTAAAAATAATAAAGGCGGGATGCAAATGAATAAATAAATGTTCTGTGTTTAGGAACATACAAATGCCTGCATAAATAAATGACACGGAACATATCCTGGACTCTTATCTTTGCCTCTGGCCCTACTGCAAACACAGATCCTGCCCCTTTAAATAAAAAGGAAATAGCTTTGTTTTGGAAGAACAGAAAATCAAGTTCTGCACCCGTAGAAATTTATGGAGATATGCATAATTTAAAGTAAAACATGGCCTTCTCAGGAAAGCAATGGGTTGCCATTTATTTCAAAGTTCATTATGCCCCCTGCACAAGAAAATAAGTCTATTTTTTTTTTGTTGCAAATCTCTGAGTTCTACTAATTTCTCTACACCCAGATTTAATTGTCGAAAGAGGTCATCTGATCATTGTCCTTCTTCTTCCAGCTGAAAATTCTTAACTCAACAACTCTTCCGCCCACAATAGTGTGGGACATTATTACCCACACAAACTTTCAAGTCACATTCCAGGTCTTTTCTTTGGTCCCAAGTTAATTTTCTACTGATTATTGTCTTATCTTGAATTTTCTTCTCTGTAGTCAACCTTCTTGCCTAACCTGGATGTTCTGGCTCTGATGCATTTTTCTCTTCAAATTCTTTCCAAGAATTTTGTATCTCCTTGCTTCCATAATTTAACCTCTCAATCTTCTTCCAAAGATGTGTGATTCGGAGATGCAAGATATATATTCCAAGAGTGAGTTTGGGTGGTGTACAGTAAAAATACAACTTTAGGTTGTTTTGAACACTGTATTTTGTAAATACTTCACCTGGGCACATGAAATTAAACATTAAACAGATGTGCGAAAGGAAAAGTTAAGAGTGTGGATTAAGGGCTTTGGGAATTGACGAGAATTTTGAGACTCGCTTGCTAATTAGATGTTTGTGCCTACAAGTAATTAAAAGTGAAAAAGGAAAACAGGTCACTTGTACAGCAAACGAAAAATAATTTCAAATCAATTGCCCAAGATAAAAGCCCTTTTTAAAACAACTGAGTGAAGAACAAAGATTGGCACTTTACTTTTGTGGCTTTTAATTTTCCTTTCTTGATTAGCTTCTGTATTTTCCTCAGCGCCTTCAGCCTTTTGTTGTACACCCGCACAGCGTCAAACCCCACCTTCAAAGAACAAATTTAATAATTTTTGTTTTAGTCATGTTTACATAGGGTAGGAAATGAAACACCTGGGCTACAATCTATTAAAAAATAGTGGACCTCAGGTGTCTTTTATACATTTATATGCTGACTCTAATAATAATAATGATAAAGTTGGAAGGGACCTTGGAGGTCATCTAGTCCAACCCCCTGCTCAGGCAGGAAACCCTATACCATTTCAGACAAATGGCTGTCTAGTCTCTTCTTAAAAACTTCCAGTGTTGGCGCATTCACCGCTTCTGGAGGCAGGTTGTTCCACTGGTTAACTCTCATCCAGCCCAGAAAACATGCATTCTCCAGCAGTTTCTTGGCCAGTAATCAGCCATATCCAGGTCTGTCTCCTCCTCCTCCTCCTCCTCCTCCTCCACTACTCTGCAACCTCCCTCCCTTGTAGCACTGATACAAAGGTACAATTTAGGGGACACCTGGCTCAAAAACAGTAACTGTGAGAGGGACCTTGGAGTCCTAGTGGACGATCATTTAAAAATGAGCCAGCCATGTGCGGCGGCAGCCAAAAAAGCTAATACAATCCTGGGTTGCATAAACAGAGGCATAGAATCAAAATCACGTGAAGTATTAGTACCGCTTTATAAAGCCTTAGTAAGGCCACACCTGGAATACAACATCCAGTTTTGGTCACCGCTTTATAAAAAAAGATGTTGAGACTTTTGCAAAGCAGACCAACTAAGATTATTAAAAGCCTGGAGACTAAAACATACGAAGAACGGCTGCAGGATTTGGATTTGGCTAATCTAGAGAAAAGAAGGACTAGGGGGGACATGATAGCAATGTTCCAGCATTTGAGGGGCTGCCACAAAGAGGAGGGGGTCAAATTATTCTCCAAAGCACCAGAAGGCAAGACAAGAAAGAATGGATGGAAACTAACCAAGGAGAGAAGCAACCTGGAATTAAGGAGAAACTTCCTAACAGGGAGGACAATTAACCAGTGGAGCAGCTTGCCTCCAGAAATTGTGGGGGGTTTTAAGAAGAGACTGGACAGTCATTTATCTGAAATGGTATAGGGTCTCCTGCTTCAGCAAGGGGTTGGACTAGAAGACCTCATAGGTCCCTCCTAGCTCTATTCTGATTTATGATATTGCCCAGTTGGGCCATGAACCGTCTGCACGAAAACTATCAAACGCAGAGAGCCTCAAGAACTCCACAGTTCCACCCAATATTCTCTTCTATTGGTATCATTTCAACAAACGTAATCCGTGCTATACCTCACACTGAACACTGTGCTGATATTTTGATAAACGTCAGTAGCAAACATTTGAAAACATGACTACTTACAGTAGATTTGACGCTGCTTCTTAGGCCATCGATATTAGCGTAAAAAATGGGACTTGAAAACTTGAGGATCTTCACTCCTTCGGGTTCAACCACCTGTTGCAAAAATAAGTATTGACTTCATTATAAATAAATCCTATTTGCTTTAGGCTCAGAAGAAAAAACCCCTAGTAAAAGGGCTTGACTTCAGAAGTTGTGGATGCGCCATCATTGGAGGCTTTTAAGAAGAGACTGGACAGCCACTTGTCTGAAATGGTACGGGGTCTCCTGCCCGAGCAAGGGGTTGGACTAGAAGACCTCCAAGGTCCTTTCCAACCCTGTTATACTGTTACTACTATTAACCTAAGCAGAGGGTATGAGACTTAAACAATAAGGTAGACAGAACCAAATTTTCCCATCTCTCATGTAGATAAATTGTTCTTGGTCAATTCCCAATTACTTCTATAATATTCTGTACACCCCACAAATAAGGGTCTTCTTCCTAACCTGTATACATCTCTCCCCACTACAGTGACAGCTGTCAATATGCCAATGTGCTATATGAAGATCGAATAGCTATTTGCTCAAATATAGATGGGTCCCCTTCAAACAATCTTTTAAAGTGTCCACAGTGTGCTCTCATTGGCAATCAGAGATAATAAATCCACTTTTGCATCGGACGAACGCCGAAGGGTACACTATACTGGGTATTATCCGTAGCAAAACATCCAGATTCAGCCATAGTTTTCATTCCACACAGCATTAACCTTGTGAACTCTCAAGCTTCCTCCTTCCGTTATATATTCAAGATGGACGGTATTTAATATTTATTTGTTATGTATATGTAGGGGTGTGGGTCTATACATATGTTGTACAGGGTATGTTTCGGTGTGCGTCATGTATGGGTTTCACTTTGAGAGCGAGCAACTAAATTTCATTTTTGATGTGTCCCGTTGTGCCCACAGTAAAAAAAAAAATGACAATAAAGGTTATCTTATCTTATTGTGTACTGTGCATATCTCTGTGTGTATAACACACTGTGTATACAGTATTGTGTTAGATTTGTAAAGACTGTGCCCTTTCGCCATGCCCCAACTATTTCTAACAGAAGCAAGCATTGTTCTGAGGATTTTTATTCTACTTTCATTCTCCTCTATCAGGACTTTGCTTTCCTAATATTATTGTCCACAAAAATGGGAGCAAGCAGCTTTGGCATCCCAGATCTTGCTGAAATATGCTTCTCAGCAGCCAGATAGTCCTCCATTTACGACTATAGTTGAGCTGAAAATTTCTGTTGCTAAGGGAGATATTTGTGAAGTGAATTTGGCCCCGTTTTACGACTTTTCTTGCCACTGTTGTTAAATGAATCACTGCAGTTGTTAAATTAGTGACTGAGTTTTTAAGTGAATCACTGCAGCTGATAAGTTAGTAACACGGTTGTTAAGTGAATCTGGCTTTCCCCCCGTTGACTTTGCTTGTCTGAAGGTCACAAAAGAGGATCACGTGACCCCGGGGGACGCGGCGACCGTCATAAATATGAGTCAGCTGCCAAGCGTCTGAATTTTGATCACGTGACCGTGGGAATGCTGCAACAGTGTGAAAAACAGTCGTACATCCCTTTTTTTCAGTGCTGTTGTAACTTTGAACGGTCACTAAATGAACTGTTGTAAGTCGAGGACCACCTATAATGATGAATGCTGGGAATTGTAGTCCTGCCACTTCTGTAGGTTCTCCTACAGCGAAAATGCTGTGATCTCTTTCTTAAAAACAGTCTTCACAAGACTTTGGTTATATAAAAGGAATTCAATTTGTTCCCATAATCCAGGGTTGGCAACCTTGGCTCTGTTATGACTTATGGACTTCAACTCCCAGAATTCCTAAGCCAGCCACACTGAGGGGAAAGGGAGAGTTTCCAAGCTGAGCCATGCTGGCTCAGAAATTCTGGGAGTTGAAGTCCACGAGTCATAAAAGGGCCAAGTTTGAAGACCCCTGGTATAGGGCAGGGATGGGGAACCTTGGCTCTTTTCTGACTCGTGGACTTCAACTCCCAGAATTCCTGAGCCAGCCACGCTGAGGGAAAAGGGAGAAGTTTCCAAGCTGAGCGTTGCTGGCTCAGGAATTCTGGGAGTTGAAGTCCACGAGTCATAAAAGAGCCAAGGTTG